AAGAGTTTTGTCTAAGCCAGATAATAGATGCAAGAGATGCGTAGCACAGCATACCTATTCGTGATGTGGTGCAGACACATGGCTGAATGCCTCCAGGTAGGGTGTGTCCAGTGAAACTAATGAGGCCAGTATCAATGTCGAAGACTTACAGAACTATTTACTTTGGGGATTTGTTTGCCGCTAGAGTTATATTGTCTCACTATTTTTGTGATTGTTAGTTGCCTGACATTGAACTAATCTGTAGGACAGTTTGAAGTAAACCGACAAATCCAACATAGTCAAATTTATTAGTACTCACTAGTGGAGTGGGAGTGGATAGTGCTCAAGCGCCAATAAAACGTCATGGTACTAGCCAAATCATAGTGCAAATCGGCCACTTAGTTCCAGACAGTTTACTGATCCTCGTCAAAGCCAAGGAAAACCAACTCACAACAATTAGTTGCACGACGTGGACTTACCCATGCAATTGTGATCACATCCTGTTCTTTGCACCGAGCCTGTCTGATTTATTTCTGTAATAACGTCATTTGTATTGCACGTTTACCGAAGTAGCTACAGTACTGGACATGATGAAGTGATAATCTACGTTAGATGCTAACCATGAGGTGTGACTTGAATATTGGCTGGTTGGTCATGTCATTCCTGTTTAACTCCCATAGGCCCTCAACCATCCGTGACCTCAAGCTTTTATTCACTTACAAGGTAATCGGATTCATGGTGTTTGTTTATGTATGTTGTTATGTCGTTTCCAACTATCGCACTCGCAACATGAGAAATAAGACAACTATTGGAAGTTAGGTGTGGTTAATTGATACCAGTAAACTGTGAAGCTGCCGTTTGTTTGGGAAGCACTTGTGACTCGTGATTGTTGGAAATTAGCCTCGTACCATATTGAAACCACCAGTTCCTTTTGATCAAAGTAATGTAAAAAAAGCTTCAAGAACGCATCTCAAGACTACATATTGCTGTCTGTGCCAAGTAGTGTTGTATCATCTGACAGTGGTTTTGAACTGGTAAGAAGTACCACATAGACAAAAAACTCATACCTAACTACTGGGTCGAACAAGACTGAAGAGGAAGAATTTGTAGCAGCTAGTGACACTCAAAAATAGTTAGGCTGGTACCCACTCAACGCTGGTGTTGAACGTGTCAGTTCTGAAAGTATTCATATCTGAAAACACCTGACACCTCCAGTGAAAGTTCAAGCGTGATGTTTATCTCTTGATTGTTAGCTTAATTACTTGCCGTTCGTTTGTCTCCATTTCTATCCAAACTTACTAATCCATATAACCTTAATGATCTTTGCTTTCTTTTTGAGTACCATGCATGAAGATTTACCATAGCAGAACCTACGAAATATCATAACAAACCCCTTTAATGAGACGACATTCGTGCTCAACTACTCAAATTATTAAACTCTATCAGTATGTGACGATATTGAATCAGCGCATGGCAACGCTACTATCCGAAAACCGTGAATAAACAATAGCCCCAAACTAAATGAAAACAGAAGTCAAGAGTGGTAGGATGTGGATATGCTTGGAGAGTTACTGTACGAAATACATAACACAGCGTACTCAAACGCGGTCCAGAGCGGCTGCTTGGCCAAAAGCGTTAAGGTAAAGATATATCCAGTAAATATATTGGATCAGCATAAATATCAAATACTTACGAAGTTACTAATTTATCACTATATGTTCATTCGTCCGCTATATCGTGTATTGGATAAAATGAAATGTGACCAGCTTAAGTACTACATTCGATTGTATACAGAAATAATCGAATATGAGAATGGGAAGCTGGATGGTGAAGAAATATAAACGGCATGACGTCAGCAGATGGTTACGAATAGAGGTATTTTCCTTCTAGATCATAATTAAGCACTGAATTCCTACTTAGCCTTCATTTTTGTCAAAATGTCTAAGCATACTGCTCACACTTTTGTGGTAGTTTATGAAGTAATGCTCAACCAAAACGTTTAGTAAAGTCGAGTTGTTGCATTCTTCCTTTTTTATGTATTTTGCAACCATCCAGCAAAAAATCAAGTAAATGAGTAAGGAATGCAGACTAAGTGTTGTGACCACTTCTGAAACGAGATCGTATAGATAACGGAGGCTTAGTCCAGACTACGACCAGGACACGTAAACTTCGCATAGTATAACGAATGTTCACTTATCTGAATTTCCTAGCCAGACCAACACAACTACCACTAGTTTCCATAGTAATAAAAGTCGAACGAACTGTTATTGACCATAAAATTATGGTTGGTTGGTGTAATACTTGGGGACAGGTTCCATGGTTCGTTATCGCACTTCCATACAACTTCGTGGAACGCCTTACTCTACAAACAGACCTTAGTTGTTGCTTTTGAATTCACTGACCTTCGAAAAAATTTAAAATACTGTTTTGATTGACGCATGACAGTGTCTTGTCAACACCACCAGCTTATTTTTCAATAATGATTGTTAAATTTTAGAAAGTCGTTTATGATTCATCAGAACAAATCCCATGAGGCTTTTACAAACCTTATCAGTTTATGTTGTTGTGGGTTGTGGTTTCGAGACAAAAGCACCTACAGATGAGTTTGTTTCGTCGCTTAACAAAATACTTAAGCGTAAGAAGTTCACCACTTTACAAAGATTTATCAGCTACTGCATCAAGTTTTTACGTGTTTTATCATTCATGATGTGATTCTCTTTGAAACCCAACAAAAAATGACTTGAGGGCTTCGTAAAATGACACTCAGAGATTTGATAGTTTATGGAAAAAGACTGGATATATTTTGTTAGTACCGAGCATTATATCTCACACAGGAGAGGAGGATGAGGTACCTGAAAAGGAAATTGGATTAGAGGTGGTCTTAGTGACCCGGGAGCGTGATCGCAGTGCCCAAGGGACAACTGCTTGAGGTCGGTCACACACGACCTTTTTATGGGTAATTTTTGTGCTAGCTCCGTACTTTTTGGGACCCTACCGTCGGAGACGGATATCCGTGGGATAAGGAGAGGTGTGCATTTTTAGGGTCAACCTTTTCTAACTCCATCCCTCCTTGTGGGAAGGCAGCATCGCTGTCATGCTGGTTGTCTGAAGGAAACACCTTATTGCTGTCAAAACTCTGTACAGTCAGCAGTACGACTTCGCCTTCGGACCTTGGGTTTGTTGCTTTTAGTCTTACCGCTCTTCAACCGACTTGTCTGAAATGGTAGGACCTTGAGGAACAGTTGTTCCAGCCAGTATAGCTCGGTTGCTTTATCACGATAGGCAAGCCAGACCACCACGTCAAGGTAGCAACAACGGTCGGGATATCTCACACAAAAAGACACTTAACCCCATAGTTACACTGTTAACCAATGAGATTTATTCAGACCACAATGTATTTAAAGATGGAAATGAACTAGTACCTAGTTTTATAAAAGATTGAAACTTTCTCGCGATACCACTGTTATTACGCAAAAGTCATAGCTTTAATGTGTTTGAAATTATTAAGGTTAAGATTTAAACATTGGTTTACTGATTCGAGAACTTATCTGTTTAGTTGATGACTGCTAAGTTATAGGAAGTCATTATTATTCTAGAATAAATTTTCTAAGGTTTTACGAAAATTCACAATAAGTAAGCCTACAAAACGAGTTCTGTATTTTATACAAAGGCTGTAAATAAGAAATAAATGAAAATTAACACTATAATGCATTGTTGGTGCATGAGTGTTAAATCACATGAAGGACTTTATGGTAAGTTAGAATATATTTTTATGCTTGGTTCGATGACAGTTAAGTTGAAGAATTAAAATCAATAGGCTAATAAATTAATACAACGATCAATGAAACACAATTGGCAAATTATTGTTTGATTGAATAGACGGACTTACCACAAAGAAATGTGTCTTGTCTATCCGCATGTCCGTCTATCACTTATTGATGGTAAATGGGAGTTGGCTTGTAGCCAACCCCAGAATGTCTTTTATTTAGTTTACAACTATATATTGTTTGAGGATAATATTGTATGACATATATGTATCTAATTAAATCTTCGCATCCGACCTAATTACGCCGTTCTACAAACACGTTACTTCGTAAGAACAAAGGCGAATTTAAGTGTGAGGTATATATTTCCCTCATTTTTACCAAATGCATTCGATTAAGGTCAATTTCTGAACTAAATTGACACCAAACCTTGGTCAAACTGTTATACGAGTTAACTAGTTATCAGCATCAAATGCTTACAGCACAATGAAGAACTAGTTAATCACTAAATCTTTGTTTTTGTGTGAGAGATATCTTTCTTATTGTTGTGTTACATCAGTTGCAGTTTATGGTTATCGTTTAAGTGAAAAATAACGTTTACATTAGATTTCTTGATTTGTTTACTTGCTATGATATTTTATTTAGAATTCTTAGGGATAATTCACTTGATTTACTGAGGGCTCAATAAGTCAGTATCGCACGTTTTTGAAATATAATTGCAAATCATAAACGAGAGAATCCTTATGGAGAAAAAAAACCAAGAAAACAATTATCAAGATCGGTAGGATAAGAATTTTGGGGAATCCAAACAATAGGACTAGTCATAGTTCCATCGAATTCCTGTTCATTTTTCTCATGTCTATCTCCATTTCCCGGCGTAATGTGTTCTTTGGTCTTCCTCTCCTACTTTGGCTTTGAGGACTCCATGTGAGGGCTTGTTTTGTGACGCAGTTGGGTGCTTTCCTCAATGTGTGTCCTATCCAGTTCCAGCGCTTCTTCCTGATTTCTACTTCCGCTGGGATCTGGTTTGTTCTTTCCCACAGTTGGTTGTTGCTAATACTGTCCGGCCAACGGATCCGAATTATTTTGCGTAGACATAATGTGGTATATAAGATAGAATATTGAATAACACTTATTCATCTAATCATGATACATAATCTAAACCTTAGTTTTTATTGAATTGGTTCATAATGATAACAGATTAACAAACACCCACTTATACATTTAAATTTCATCGACTATTTTGAATTATTTAACTTGTGTATAATAATAATAAAAAAATAAAAGATCATATGAAACCTACGCAAAACAAAACAAAAATAATAGTTAATAATTTGGTTATGTGTTTGTAAATTTAGTTGAAGTTAAAACATATTAAATTGAATAAATGATTCATTTGTTTAATGCAAAACGTCAGCATACATATATGTCCCGATTTCAACTGATCTCCATACATAATAATTAAAAAGCCCGCGGTTTAATATTTTGATTTCTAAAAAATTATACAGTAGTCAATCAACATTTATCTATACGATATCATAAACTTGTATCATAGAGAATAATGTATTCCTCGTGTGTTCATATCTATTTACATGTATTAATATGTAAAATGTTAAGTGGATGTAATTAGTCGAAAGGAAACTCTGAACCAATATATTTGAGCTAAGTGGCTTTCGTCAGCCAAGTGTGCTTGAAATCTTGAGGGAACTGATGCTTTCTGAAGGATATGACTCCGAGTCATTGAGCTTCACAATCAGAGACGTTACTACTAACAATTACCTGCGATTTTTTTAAAATTACTAAATCATAATGGATAAATGCTATGTGACAATGCCCATGATTTTACTGAGAAACTCCTTTTTAAAACAATGAAATATGTCAAATTAAAGAAAAAGGAAACATCACTTTGCAGAATAAAAAAAAGAAAAAAAAACACTGCCTTCTCTCTTTTCATATGACTAGACAACGAAAGTATAAACATAGTAACGCTTACATTTTGAAATTATAGAGAAACCTTGCAACAACGGTGGATGAACACCTATGATATTGTGTGGTTATTTAAATTAGATATTTTGTTTGCAGAGCTTCCAATATAGTTCTAGACAACATCATTAGCGTCTTCTTCATATAGAAATGAAATTTCCAATTATAATAACTTAATGACTTCTATACTGAGTAGATCCTAACGATATTATTCAGAATGATAATGAAAATTGTACAAATAAACTATCTAACTCTAACGTATACAACATTACCATAAATTTCACACATTCATAATCAAGAAATAAAAAACAAACAAAACCATTTATTGTCATTGTGTAATTTGAATAAAAGACGACAGTTAAGGTATACATATATATCACAATCATATCATTGGTAATAATAATAGTAATAACAAAATTCTAAATGATAAGGCTATTATGAGCGAAACGTGTTTATTTTTATACAGGTAAACTCATTGATATCATTTTATGAATTAAAAGTTGATACGTTGATAGTGAATAAAGGATGTTCTGTATAAAATATGTAACAATATAGTCTACATTTTACAAGCATATCAATGTAAATTATTTAGATACAATGTCGTTAACAAACAACAACAAAAAATATATAATTGAACATTTCGAGCGGGAAAAAAGAAATGTTCTCATATCAAATTTACAGTTTCTAATTGAATTATGTATTTATATAACAACAGAAATATGTTAGTGGCAGATATTTTACATGTACAATGAAATAAAATTATTAAAAAAAAACACAGAGATAATAATCAAATATGTGGGAAAAAATGATAAAGAATGCAGAATGAGTGAAATGGAATATTAATGAGATTAAATATGTAAAAAAAGAGAAAAAAAGGAAATAATAAAACACTAATTTTATTCTTATTACAATAGATTCATTGAAAATTCAATGCCTTTCTTCTACTTTGATTTGATTTGTTAAAATCGATTTGGCACGAACACGACGTTGAGCTAATGTAGAACATTCAACTGGTTCAAGTATTGGTATTTTACTAGTACTATTCAATGCTCTAAATGTAGCTTCGACTGAATTCTATAACATAAATAAAACATTTGTGATAAAGGAATAATTTACTATTATTACTGAGAAATTCCGTTTATTTAGAGCAATGTAATTTAAGAGTAATATTTAAAATAAACTAAAAATACGAGAAATACGTAACTGATGATTATTTTCTATGCAAGAGTTATGAAGATTGTTAATTTATTATTATTATTATTATTACAAACAGTATACACCCATGATTCCTAAAAGAGATTGGGTTCAATATATTCAGGTCTTATAGTGACCGTGTAACCTTCAGGCATACGTATATAAATAAATAATATACATACTATAAATATCCTCATTTTGAAAGTTATTGAACTAGTCACAAAAAGTAACGCTTATTAAAAATGGATAGATGAATTTTCGTTTATCACATTTGAATAGTTCAAGTGTTTTCAAATAGTTTGATTAGTTCAAATTCATTTATACCATGAAATAAAGTTTAGAGAAAAATTAGACAATATACATAATTAGATTCTTCTTCATATTTAGCATGAAAATCAATTTAAGTTGAATAAAACTTAAAAACCAAAAAAGTATAGATTTTAGAAATTATTAATAATTAGTATTAGATATACACTAACCTAAGGAAAACTACAGCCGATAATATAAGTAGTAAGTAAGTATCTTATTGGTTCTTATTAATTTCAAACTTCAAGAAAAAAGAAAACACTACATAATTAATTAACAAGCACTTACTTTTGTCTGAGTGACATCATTTAACAAAACGTCGGTCAATAATTCTGGTGACAGTTGATCACGATTTTTAACCCATGGATGTGATAAGATCGCGCTAGCTGTACAACGTTTAGATGGTTCAGGATTTAACATTTTTGTCAATAAATCCTAAACAAACATATGAAAGACACAAATGTAATCAAAAGTTATAGAAAGAGTAGAAAACTTATAAATCTTGAGTATAAATGACAGATAGTACAAAAAATAACTATAGTGGATTTGTAGAGATGGTTGTATATTATGGTTTACTATCACTGAAAAACCAAGAAAGCATTGTTTTAAGTTACACAAGGAAACCATTAAATGCTGACTCAGTAATCTAAAGGTTAAGTACACATTAAGAAACCGAAATTTCTTGGATTTGATACTCCTCAATGGGTGGTCGTGGAATTTGCACTTATAAGGAGTTCTATATACTGGGACAAAACGGGTATCTAACGCTTCCTTGTTTTTACTGGTTATCTAAGGTGTTGACTGCATTTAAAAGTGATCTATTCTACTTTATGGCAGTGAAACATGGCCGGTAAGAGTATAGGATATTCTTAGGTTACTAGTATTCGATCGTGTGTCTTCGAAACATTGCTCGTATATCCTGGGACCACCAAGTAAGTAATACAGTTGTTAGGATACGGGTACTAGGTAGGGATGGCAAGTCCATCGATGAAGCAGTAAAACTTCATCAGTTGAGATGGTTTGGATACGTGTTACGTATGCCCAACCACCGACTGCCCCGACGTGCGATGTTTTATGGTGTAGGAGTAGGTTGGAAGAAAGCTAGGGGCAGCCAGAACAAAAGATGGCACAAATCCATGAAGTCACTGACAAGTGGACTGAGCGATGTTGGTAGGTGTAGACTATCTGGTTGGGGACCGCGAGATGATAGCAACCGATGGTTAGAGACCTTGAATGACATGGCTCAAAATCATTTGCAATGGCGCAGGACCATCCACTCTTTATGTTCTCCCAAATTCTAGTCTTCTGAATTCTTCATATCCCTTTTTTATCTTTCCAAATTTATTTCACTGTATTGTACTCCTTGAATAACATCTTCAAACCCTAATCTTTCCTATTACTGCTTATACTCTTACTACCTCTACCACTACGGGATTTGAATCGACAACGGTATCTGTGTGCTAATGTGGTATAGCAACTCGAACTGATGTACGTATGTATGAAGTTCTACGTTGTTTCTGACTGAAATTTAAAAGAGGAGTTGACAAACCAGTGAATTTGTTAAAGTCTGACAAAATTAAACACATACATTGAAAAATGAGTTAGAAGAAGCTTGGAAAAAAACAAATTATTAATTGATTCAACTTCAACATTTTTGAAAATAATTTTGTCATTAATGAAATATGAGTGGATGTAAATAAGATAACAAAATTGGTCACTAATATATAAGTAGATAAGTAGTTATTATTCGATAAGATAAATGATTCTTCAAATTTCCCTGTTTATCTCCCAAATCAAAATTAATTTAAAAAAATTAAATTTAAAAATTAAAGTGTAAACGACCAAAAAGTATATTAGATTTTTAAAATTAAGGAATATACACAAAGATTGATATACAATTATTTTGTGAATTATGCTGATTAAGCGCTTAAACTATGAAAAAAAGTCAAGTTGGGAAACTATTTCGTTATCGACAAGAGTCAAACACTAGTGGTAAGTGAACATCACTAGTAAATTTATTGAAATGAAAGATTAATTGATGGTGATTTCTTCTCATCTTATACAGGGTTTTGTGAGACATATTCCTCAAAAGTTGTGTTTAGAAGGAAGTATACTATTTCAAATGGAAACACTAAACATTTAACGTAGAATGAATGAGCCAAAAACGTTTGAAATAATTAACAAACGGTATATTCCGCTTTTTGTAGGAACTGTTGTTACCACATGCTTTTGGCTGGACTTTTGTACACAAAGAGAAAGTATGATAAACCTCTTAACGCCATGATTAAATGCGACGTCTGTCAATTAAATAATCTTTTGATTTCGATTTGTACTCTAAACACTCCATTGAAATTCACTCATAATGTTAACTTGAATTTCATACCAACAAGGTGATCTGATCGTTAAATCACTCATCGGTTAGTAAAATGGTTTGTTCATTTTGTCGATTGATTATTAGTTACCATATTATCCCCTTTATATAAATTCAATCTCAATAAATAAGCAATAATCATTTCTAACCATTGTTTTATAACCCTTTGTTGTTCCGTGTTGATTTGAATTCGATTTCGTTGACTAAGGTATGTATAACCCTGTTCATAAAAAAATATTACTAATTGTAAGTCTTAAGCTGTTTACAGCTTATAGTATCCATTCACTTTATTCTACAAATTGAATTAATTAAAATAGGCCACTGAATGATATTTTTAATAGTTTCCAAAAAAGGATGAAAAGAAGACAAATAAATAGTTTGATTTCAAGGAACTGTAATTGACAGGTAGGATGAATTTATACAAATTGTTTATAAATGTTAAAATCATGAACTATAAAAGCACGACCTATTTTAACGGTAGATACGAATATTATGTCAGTGAATTTAATATTATCCTAACTTTTATGATTAATTAACACTCCTGACAAAAGTGTAACACTAATCTGAAAATGATTATTGATTACGCGAAGGAGTAAGTGATTAAAAATGTGAATGGTATACTTCATGCACGTCTTATTCGTTGCATTGCTTAACGGGGCTAGTACGCACACAAATCAGCTAGTTTATTACAATAAAGATAAAAAGTTCCGTTAGTTAACGAATTAAAGAAAATGAAGTAACTCAAATACTCATCAGGGGACGTTTTTAAGTGTCCATGAAATAATCAGTAAACAGAATATTACTATTAAATTGTTTGTGAAAATTGTTGAATTTCATAACTTATATCACTGACTGATCGCAGTTAGACAACCATTGAGATCCAAGAATCATTAGACAGTTATTTCGTTTTGATATGGTTGCATAATACCACGAAGTGAATAAAGATCTGCATATAAACCAATCGATACAGACCTGGTGGTCTAAACGTCAAGCGCTCATTAAGATATTCAAGTACCTTGGTTCCAATTCACGTTAGGTTTGTGGATGTGCATTGCGGAGTGATCTCATACTGAAACGAAACAGATATCCGGAGTTTCATGATTTTCGATGGTTGTCTAAGATCAATTCCTGATGAATGGTTTAGTTATGGGAACATTACTAAGAGCATTAAAGTACCTGTTTGGAAAACGACAACACAGTTACAAAACATTTATTATCAGACAAAATGACTGAATTTTATTACTCAAGTATCAGCAGATTTAGAAATAGGCTTCCAATTACAATTTCCTTGAGAAATAAGTAACCTCTTTATACAACGTTTCTCGTTAGATATCTAAACAAGTAACAATGATTACAGAATTTATATTAAAATTATAATTATAAACATATGTAAGACATATTCATAGTAATAGTGTGGCGAACGAGAACACAAGTGGGGAAAACCTATTTATTATTCAATGCGAAATTACAGAGTGCTTCAGTAAAATATGAAAATCATACATTAAATACATCATTTGCACATCTTTGTGTTGTCCTTTATCTACTACACTATTCCTCTAATTCCGTTTTTATTTTAATTGCTCTCCGATTTGCTTTGTGTTCTCTTTAATTCAATCTTCTGCTCCCAGGCATGACAACTTCCGATCGTGGCTACATACTACTTACATCTGATAGCATACGCAGCGTACACCACACATCTACACTAATGATGTAACATGAATTATTCATAAAGTTTTTAAAACAGAAAGTATGGAACATTTATATCATATTCCATTGATTGTTATGAATAAACGACAATCACAGTATTTAACGAATTAAATCGAAGTTCAAATATTAAAAACGTTTACCTATGTGTGTTCAGTGTAAAAAATTTTAAAAACAATAAGCTATTGACTTCACTGGTAACAGAATAGGTGTAACTGTTAGAGCAATTGGAAATATTTTGTCAGTCAATCTGGCATTTGCAACGCAGAACTTACTGAACATATGCTTACATATGTGTTCCAATTCGCCACAGGATATCAGGGCAAAAGGATGAAATTACAAAGACAAACAACGAAGTGGTAATATCAATGCCGAAATTGGCCATGAAGAATATGAATGGAAGTATAAAATAACTTGAAAACTGAAGATAGAGAACAAGCGAATGCATTCGCTGAACAGCAACCAACTTCGAACCATATCAACTAGCATCTCCTCCTCCCGTTAGTCAAATTCACCACGCTGGACTTAATCAGGAGTCAATTACTTCTTGAGTTATTGCCATGTCCAGGTTTAAACACCGCCAGTTTTCCTCCACCCCATTCTTATGCCGACGAAATACTTTGTTCAGATCTGTATAGTTTGGCGATAGTTCAGGCCATAAATTGAAATGAACAACTATTAAGTGTTAAGTGAAGATTTATTTTTTGAAATTCCAATAGAAATATTTATGCAGTCATCCAAGTTCAGAGTGAGGCAGTAACCGACATATGATATTACGTAAAAACTGCATAACACCCCAAATTGACTACAATTGAGAATGTGAACTAATCAATTGCAAAACTTAGATTCATAAATAATATACTAATCACGAAAATTGATTGTTATGCGTTTTATTAGACATGAAATTGTTAGTACACACTATTAAGTAGTATTAATGTACAATAAAAATAAACTACTGCTAATTGTTTATTCAAGGGCTCCATCTCTCTTACTATATGGTGTCATGAGTGTAGTGAACGGTACTCACAACATTACTTGTAAGTTGTATGTTGAGGAACACGGCCTCAAAGTTGTCGGACGGAATGAAGAGTCTCAGTACAGCGAAAGCACGGCGTTGGCAGAGCAAATTGTAATGAGGTAAATGATTCTATTGGAAATATAAGTATAATAGTAATAAACAATTGGTATTTATCTATAACTATTTGAAAGAATATGTAATAGAGTAGGTCAACATTTGCTATAATTAAATCAACTTCTCTAACAATTAAATTATAAACACGTTATAATGGTGAAAATCAATCTTATCAAGAAATTAAGATAGAAAACTTAATTTATAATTTACTTTCCTTAAATATATTGTGACATTTGGAAAAATTACATTGATGAAACTATAATTTATAAACGACCTATGTATGATTATAAATGAAACTTGAGAAACTTCGCTCACTTATTAGGGTTTAAATAGAGTTCTAGATAGATGTGAGGAATTTGAATTAGAACTTAGGAAATAGAGTAAGGGTTTTTATTACGAATGGAAATCAATTATAATGAAAAAAATGTTATTTAGTCAGATAGATAAATGAATTTCGTGCAGATATCTAAGAGTCACTATTTTAAATTTGATTAGTTAGTCCATAAATTAGAGTCCTGGTAGTGTATTCATACAGATTGTAGGTGTAGAATGAAAAACAATGTATCCCAAGAATATTTTTTAATAAGATAAATGTTGATAAAATGAAGAATATTTTGTCATGGACTCAATTTATCTAAGCAATCATTAGAAAGCACCAACAATCCTCACAAAAATTACGGACAAATTTAGCCCGTCAATAAATAATTTAGATGAGGTTAAAGATTATTATCGTTTCAAATTATTCATTTTATTGAATAAGATGAAGAGTAGATAAACAGTTGACTCTCGAAACATATACTTTATTAAATAATTTGTTACAAACACCAATAACAACATAAACAACAAAACTATGAATGTAAAATATCACAAAGTTGAAAAGTGCATTATTTCACTATAGACATACATTTTCTCGTCAAACAATAACTTATTGGCACTTGAGTTATTTTGCTTACTGGGCATGTGTTTTATACAGACACATAAAGAAGGAAAATCTTGGAAAATACGTATAATTCAGTTGCATTAACAGTATGAATAAGATCTTTCATTAGTATTGGAAAAGACGCATCTCTGTATATATAATGAGTGAACAATCAACCCAAAAGCAGTGAATGTTAAAAGGGAATAAAAAATACACCAAAACACCAATACTGTGCAATAAACATAGATCGGTAACTTTCAACTAATATAATGTTACATATCAGATACTGCGACATCTACGTGAAAATTTCAAAAAAACTATTATTCACATTACAAATGTGAATAACAATTGTCCTTTTAGTCTAATCTACTGGTATTACTAATATTAGTTGTATATTTTCTGTTTCCTCTTTAACAATGTATAAACCGGTTAAAATTTTCATGGAAGGCATTGAATAATTTATGTTATCGGTAGTCAGCTTACTGGTATTGTACGGAATAGTGAAAATTGTTTTAATTGAAAATTTTCCAGTTTATATATATAATACATCATCAGTTTTCATGTGTCGGTAAAAGTGAGGTGTGATTGGTTAATGAGAGAGGATGGATACATAAATATATGAGACAATATAATATTGTATGTTCATTCCACTGCAGATTCTACTGGGATTTAACTTACATTTGACTATTTTGTACTTGTGTCGATAAACTATTGTTCTTTCTAATATCTGGTTCTTAATGGGATAATTGTATTATGCATATGACATAATCTAGTGTCTAGTCTGGTACTTCGTAAGTCGATCCTATTATCTATTGTCAGGTCTATTGGTACTCTTATGGTATTATCTAGTGTTTAAGTGTACGATTCTATCAAGTGTAAATTTCACAATTTTCGCCATATTATCAAGATCTTAAAACATATCATGAAGCTGTACATGTAAATACGATAATTATTCAGATGAAACGTAACAAGGAACGTATCTTTTTAAAATAAATAAGAACAAATAAAACTATAGAATGCATGGATCGTAGCTAGCAATGGAATCAAGGACATGTATTTTGTTCAATCAATGACTTATCAGATGAATTTGCCTGAAGCTCGGGGTTAGTGTTCACTCTAAAACGTAAATCTAGTACCGTTCACCAACGGCTATTCACTTAGCTTTTGAATCCAAATAATTACTCGCTTATATAACGGGTCCCTGATGAGACGAAACGAGAATCCTGGATACCACTACTATATATATATATATATATATATATATATATATATATATATATATGAAATAATTGATTTAAAATGTCTTTGCTGTTAAATGACCAAACTTGACTGAATGTTTTTAATAATACGGTTTAAAACAAAACATTTCATCTCGACTTAAAACGAAACAATACCATTTATATTGATTTATAGGTGGAAAAAAAAGAAACAAGGAAATTGAATTATATGTTTAGTTCGATGTAATCAGGTCATGCATTTTGATTGTTTTTTTTGTTGTTGTTGCCAAATTATAGACATTATGCATAATTTCTATTATTTTGCGTGTGTATGTTTGCGTGTTTTCCTTCAGAAAATAGAATGGAGGTTATTTATTAATGTTGACTAGTTAAATAATGGTTGAATAAGGCATCATTCTGGCATTAATTTCTTTTGTTTTTCACCTCAATAATGAGTTCATGTGATTTGAAGATTTGAAAGAAATAAGAATAATTAATATACACAATAAAGTTTATATTATGTCATTTTCTAGAATAAATTATTCACATTTATATAATGAATTGAATTAACATTATGCATTCATTTCACAATTGTACAGTGATATATATATATATATATATATATATATATATATATATATATATATATATATATATATCAGAATGGGTTTTGTGGAGAGTTTCAGAAATTTCACAGGTTGAAATCATGATTCAGTTGAAGCTAGACCACCATTGAAAACCTGGAAGCACTAGACGGCCGTTTCGTCCTGGTGCACTGCTGAAACGAAACGGCCGTCCAGTGCTTCCAGGTTTTCAATGGTGGTCTAGCTTCAACTGACTCATGATTTCAACCTGTGATATGTATATTAAAATGTATATACATAATTCCTTTAAAAAAAATAATAAATTATAATACATACTTTTGCTGAATCAGATATTTTATTCCAATTATTATTGATTAAATCTAATCGACCAGATTCTATACGTGATAAAACTACTTCAGATGATTCATTTGGTTTAATTGCAAATGGTGTTTGTCCAAATAACATTGTATACACTAATACACCTAAACTCCATACATCACATGCAGCATGATAACCTTGCATTTTTAACACCTATATTATTATGCATTGATGATGATATGTAAAAAAAAATATAAGGAGAGTAAAGATATACAAATGAATGAAAAGTGATACATACACAAGTGAAAATTAGTTCAAAACGTAATAATAATAAATAGTAAATAATGATGTATACATGCATAAAGTAGTTTGTGTATTTATAAAAAGTTATTAGCCCACAAATGTCCTGGTGCGGACAAGAGTGGGGAGAGTCAGCTCTCTCTCTCTCTTGAAATGCTCTAACATGCCCACGTGCATAAAATTACTGCCAAAAAAGTCCTACACACTGCATTCTCATGGCGGGGGTGTTGTTTACGTAATTGAGGGAACAAAAATCGAATGCCCGGAGATTTAAGCGAGTTCATGGATGTGGAGGATCCACAAACAATAAAACAGACGAACTGAAATCATTTAAATGATTTGAAGTTAACACTAGACTATTCGCAGAGTGATTAACTCCTAACAACCAACTCATTTCGATTGTTTTTTTACCAATACACCAATATGTCATACAAACTGACTGATGTTAATTGTTTTCTCAATTTCTTTTTTTAAGGCTGGTCCTTCACGTTTATCGGGCATCTTATTAGTTATCCTTGACTGGAATATGTCAACCAAGGTCCAATCTTCTCTAAAACTAACTAAAATGTCTGAATAAATTGCCGGTTTTTATTTGCCAGAGACTGATTCCAGCGTATATGCAAACGAAAACCAGAGAGCATTAAACAACTGCTTCGCCTCAATGCAGGAATCCTTAGAAGAATGTACCCTAGATCACATAAAGGGGTCGGTTCCAAGATCTTCAGATACCACCGTGAACATGAACATTAGAAGCACCGGGTTGGTTTCTTATACTAAATAAATAAGTGAATAAATAAGCAGTATATTATAAAGCTTTAATTTTTTTACTGATGGTTCCATATCAAAGCAAATTAAACACAAATACGATTTAAAAAAATCAAAACTGTCAAGCAATTTACTTCTGGTGCGACAAAATTTGCAGTATAACACGGTGTCATTAAAAGACCATTTTCAGCTCTCAATTGTTTTGCAAAACCAAAATCACATATTCTCAGGGAAGATGCATCACCAGAATCGTCTGCATATAATACATTGGATGGTTTAAGATCACGATGGACAACCTGGCAAAATAGGGGATATTTATATACATATGGAGTAATAATACGTTTTTAAATAATAATTATACAGACATCAACGTAATGTAATGTAATGTATTAAGATTTTTCAAGTATTTTGTATATGTATATATAGTAAATTCATTTACCCTATTGGTTTAAACCCATAAATAAGACTGAAGAAATATCGATGAAATCTATTTTCAAAAAAGGCATAAAATACATTCAATATTATATCACAGAAAGCAAAATATTCAACACATTTCTTGATCACAATTTATATTTCAGTTGTCTATTTAGTAAATCAAATAAAACACAATTATTTACGCCTTTTGAGATCACAGACCGACCTAAGTAAGTTATCCACTGAAAGCCAAGAAGCATTGTATATATGTTTCGTCCCCGTGTAGGACTTATCCTCAGCAGTTTGTATTTACGACTCCGTAAGGAACAAAATTCAGAATTTGTAAAGGGAGTTTAAACTTTGGGCTATTTATAAATCTTCAGCTTATGAAACGCGTTTTTCTAAAACAGATTTACCGAAATAATTATTCATAAGTATCAGAAGGAGTTTTGTGGAGATTGTAGTAATTTCAATAGTTAAGATCATGAGTCAGGTTTTCCATGTTGGTCTAGCTTCAATTAACTCATGATCTCAACTATTGAAATTATTCATAAATTGAAAATGTGAAATAAATTATCCATTTTGTTAATACTACTTTACAAAAATTTCTTTTCAAGAGATATTCCTAGTGCGTTGCGTTTATAAATTCAAATGTGTGATCGTCATTAGCATAATGAAGTTGTCAGTAATAATCTATATGAATGATTTAGTTTAGTTCAAGATAAGATGAAAGCCTATTATTTGTTACAAATGCTTGTATTGTGTATATATTATGAATATATTTATTAGCTTAGATTATACAGCACACACATACACACAAAATACACAAAGTGTTTACACAATTCTATTAAAAAAGAAACGACTTCGTGTTGTACAACCAAGTGTCTGATTGAACAGGTCAACTTATTTTCAAATGAACTGTTATTACATTCCAATTAAAAACTTATTTGCATTTTAATGGCTACAACTTATACCTATATACTATATTGTTTACAGAGTAATAATAACTACACATACATTTACATTGACCTTCAGAGATATATGACTAAACTACAAATTAATGCAATGATATTTGAGTTATCGTTACAAGACTAAAATATGTATGGTTTCATGTTCACATGACCGAAAATACACGCACTATGTCTATCAAGGAAAAAGATACACTGTTTTGATTTTTGGTTTGAGAGATTAGTTTTGATAGGTAAATGTAAGCTATGAGAGGATGTGAGTCAAAAGCTCAGAGGAAGATGTTCTATTTAACGAGCTGGATGGTAAGAGATTAAGCCAGAGAAGAAAACATTCAAAATAAGTATGTAAACAACGATAACAGTAAACGACAGTAAGCAATCAAAATCCATGTCAACAGAACACTCTGTTAGTTAATTGTGGAGAAATTCTAAATACTCACTTCATTTCAAACTATGTACTGATGACATTGTGCAGAAAGATTATGGGAGATTCACAATTAAAATATTTATCTTATAGAGCACAAAACCTGTAGAATGCAGTATTTGTTATTTTCACATGATATAATTTCACTTTTTTAAAAGATAATCTGAAGTGATACGTGCTAAAACAAGACAAAGTGATGTATCAAAAAATACAGACTACACAAGCACAATAGATTGATCGATGGGCAGTGGTCGATGCCATATTTGTTATATATGTTACATAAATTGTGATATCACTAATTTAGGTGAATTAACGTTACGTGTACTATGACCAGTTGTTAGTTGGTTGGATGTGGTAAACAAGAAATCCTGGACTACGGTCTGTTAGTTGACACTTTTCAACAGTGTATACCTAAATCTTGGGAGACCTGATGCTTGCTAAGGGATTGGAATCAGAGTATTAAAGGAAGAATTGTTAGAATCACGTCTGAATATCGTTACTCATATTATTATTCCATTCACCTTATTACAGCTGGATTAATCGTTTGGATTTATTCATTAATTATTGTAAAGACAGAATTTATAAAATTAAACACATTATGCTATCACAACGATAAAGCACTAGAAATCTATACTGTGAACTCGAAACTTCATAACAACAAATAATTTTGAAAACGCACAACATAATAAAAAAAGCCAATAACTGAGTTTACAGAAAACGAAAAATTACTACTACTATTACTACATATTTATTTAATAGTATGACAAGTAAAGATCATAGACGAAACATTTGTGAACCAAAATGTTTCATCACATATTATGCATAAATGATGAGGATAAGTTAAGCAATAAATCGATATTTTCTCAAACAGTCTATGAATTAATGTATTCTATTTATTATTAATACGTTTTCCTATGATAAATACTCGTTTATTTTTCTCATTAAACACTTTTAACTTATGACTTTGTTGACGAAACGACTGTATTTTATATATACAGACCAACGTAACTAAAAGGTATTACTTTTTAACTAGTTTTTCTTCATAGCTGTAGACTGGGGTATATATATCTATCTTTTGTATTGGTTGTTCAAATCTTCCCAGTGGTGTTTAGGGTTATTAGCCTTTTCTGGGATACATGCATAGCGTGAGGATTGTCTCGATAATGCTATAAAGTAACAAGGATTTAGGCAGAGATAGATGATAACTAGCAGTGGAGTCCAGGTACCTCTAACTGACGAGTCCTAAATACGACGAGACACGCGTCCTAGATTCCACTGCTGGCCATCATCTAACTCTTCTCAAACATATGTTTTGATCGAGTTTTGTTCTTTGAGTTGGATGGTTAGATCAAACCATCAAATCTCCACCATCTCAAAATCATATGAGCATGGTACGATTCGCGTTGTTCGAAAATGGGAGAATTTCGCCAAAAGGTAGGCTTTCACTCGAGAACAATTGTATTTTTTCATGAGTGTCTTCGTCAGTATGTTCCACCATCAAGTGTAAGATGCAGACCTCAAATGAACTGACCAATGGGATGGAGATTAGCTGACACAACCAAACTATCCAGTTTAGAGAACAAAACTCCATCAAAATCATCCATCTGAACTAAACATTTCCACCATCTCATGTATATATGATTTACAATAATAAAATATTACTAGTCTAGTATAACTCCATTAAAATTCTTGACGTTTTTTTATGTTTCAAGTTACTGAATAATTTCAATATTCATGTCTTGATACTTACACGATTATTATAAAATTGATTTTTCATCAAAATATTTAATCGACCCTCTTATTAAATATTATGCAATCTGGGAGCCATTTAATTATGTTTTAACAAATAGCTACTTTGCTTAGTACAATTACCGTATTATATTTCTTTTAATCACTAAGCTAATCATTTAATATTATTTTTATAATTACTTGAGAAATTCTAGTACTGCTAATCAATCGATATTACTTTATTTTCATAGTCGTTAAATTATGAAGTGACTTTAGCTAGACCATCAGTGCACATAAGTGACATCATCAGGGATCAAGCCTGAAATCATGGGTTTTGCGAGCAATCGCTTGATCTCAAGAGATCACCCAGCCAGCACACAAACAGAAATTTAGTCAGTTCGTGATACCGCGCTGCCATCTTCCAGTGTTTCTGGTGGATAACTGTTTCATGCTCAAAATGACTGAACTCCACTGGTAACGCCTTTCTTGTTGTAAACCATGTGTATATGTGTTGATATGGAGCTACAATAAAAAATTAGTAGCAAAAAATATTTTTCCACTTTGTTCATCTTTGTCCTAAACCTCTGTATCAGAATTTTCACTGCAACTGCTTTTTTGGTTAAGCATTGAGCCTAATATATTTTAACTTTAAACGAAAAGAATAGTTTAAAAGTTACTTTCTACCCTCAAACAATCAATCAGAAAATAAGAAACACATTTCTAATCATTGAGTAAAAGGCAACGAATGTCCAAAATCACTTTCCCATTATATTTTGTCGTTGACGTTTATTAAACTAATAAGTGGTGAACAGCTTACAATAAAATCTCATTCACTGAAGAATATTTTATATAAAAAAGAATTATTTATTCATTCGGAAGATGAATTTCAAACGCTATGATTAACTATCTGAACTCATTGTTTTTTGTTAATCTTTCCCGATAATAATTCACATAAAATTTCGATAGAATAAGGCACCTAAAAATAATAGGCATTTTACATTGTACTATTTTAACTTGTGTAAATTAGATTCGCTTATTTATTAACCCTGAAGAAGTGACTTACATTTAGTCGTGAAACATTAGTAATATAATTTTTCTACTCATCGGGATATTTTTAATAGTTGAGATCATGAGTTAATTGAAGCTAGACCACCATGGAAAACCTGAAAGCACTGGACGGTCGTTTCTTTCTACTATGGGACGCCTCAGCAATGCGCATGCACGATGCCGGCTCACGAGGTTCGAACTCAGGGTCCATCGGTCTCGTATGCAAGAACTTATCCATTAGGATAATGAGCCGGCATCCAACGGTGTTAATGTCTAACTTCAACTAATACACGAAATAAACCGATATATCCATTCCTGTGTTCAGTGAGTTACTATCTCACAACAGACTCGGTTGAACTCCACTGGTCACCGCTTCATTGAGATATAACAAAAATATATTTATTATTAAATTTCTACCCAATACTCAATTTATTTGAAACTATCAAATCAAACCTTGGGGTTAATACCTAAAAAGGATACCATTGCGAGGTAATAAAAAAAACAGAGTGAAATCAAAACCAAAAAAGGAAAAGATAAACGGGAATAATCTATCGAGGCAAATATAGTTCAACTCTTTTAATAACTCAAATTCTAGATAAAAGAAGGCTAGAAAATGATAAAAGATTCACTGCATACAGTAATATTTAAAATCGAAGATAAACATTCTTATCAGAATGGGTTTTGTGGAGAGTTTTAGAAATTTCACAGGTTGAAA